TGCCTGTTCTTGTGCTGCCATGATTAGTGCCTCTGTGCTGTCCGTCAGCCCAGCCTTTTCCAGCCACTGGTAGGATTTTTTGATATCAGGTTCTCCATCTTTCTTGTCCTCACTTTCGGTTTTCTCCTGCCTGAGGTATTCACCAAGCCATTTGTCTTTGGGGGCCATCTTTCTGATGTACTCCTGGATCTTAGTTGTTTCATCCTGGACAGTGATCTTGACACTCACTAGCCCTCGGCCTCCCTCGCTACGCTTGGTGTGTATATATATATATATTTACATTTATATCTGTGAATATATAACATCTGTGAACCTATGACTAAATACCACTCCCTCTGATTTCCAAGTCCTGCTAATAATTTACAAATTTCTGTTTAGAGTTAAAATCTATCAAGAAAAAACAACAGTCTGAACTTGAAACATGTGTTTTATTTTCCAAAAATAACAATATAACATTTAAAGCTTGTTAAATTGTGAGACTTTAAGTTACTTTTAGTGTTGCAAGAGAAGACTTACCCTGCTCAGTGTTTTCTCTTTTTTGGGGACAATGTTTTCTCTGTTCATTTGGTTGTGGTGAACATCAGTTATGGTTATAATCTGTTACATTTATTTCTATGTGTGAAAGGGCGTCTTTCAAAGGAGCACAAATGAATTTGCTGCGTCGGCTCCTTTCATTCTAACAAACAAAGCCTAATTTACACACAAACAAAGGCTGACAGACGCAAGGTGGGTATTCTTCATAATAAAAGCCCACCTAATCAACTGCAAAGATCAAATATTCAAATGACAAAGGGACCTCATTATCTGTACACATTCATGTGGCACTGTGTTAGCTGCCCCCCTCCCACCGTGCTCAGGCGGTTAATTGTCAGTTGATATTTAGGCTGACAGTTTTGGGCGGACTCGACAGGGGAGAGAAAATCAGATTGCCTGAACTGCCGCAAAACAATAATGAGGCACATCTTCCCCTATCACCCACTATTTTTGACATTTCACTCATCCATGAAAGCAGGTTGCAACTATGAACTGCTTTCTCCAGCACCCACAGACATAATTTACAGACACCAGTACTGGTTTATCGGATCAGCATGTCCACAGGGATGCTAGGTGTGGGCAGGCCAGTTTAGTACTGGAAAAACAGAAGTATAAGATTTCAAAACGCACACACAAACCATGTGTCCTCTCTTTCTCTAGGTTTCCTTTGGCTCTTATCACAAACTCTCTCTGGCAGCTTGTGATCTGATTGGTTATTCATGTCACGCTGCCGAAGCCTATCACATTATGCTCAGTGATGTGCATTTCCATCCAATCAGGTTTTTCTTTTGTGCTCGCTGGGTGTTCAGATGCAAATCTATTCAATAGAGCACATTTTCATTTCCCAATGTAGAGCTGCTGGCAAATTCATGAGCAGAGACACTGAGAGGAAGTTTAACAGCAGATACAGGAATGAGCAAAAGTCTTAAGCTACATCTTTCTTTACAGATTTCCTCCAAAGACTTAATATTTCTTTTTTATGCTTTTGAAGTTTTTTTTCTATTATTTGTATATTTCTTAATAACTCTGCATTGTAACATGCATTTTAGACCCCATCTGCGTATCTGATACTTCTATAACATAGGTAGATTTTCTTTTAAAATATGCTCCTGTAGTTTTTCCAGTGTTTTATTGTCATTACACTATCACAAGTACAGAGCAATTAAATGAACTCTCTGCATTTTACCCATCCCCTTGGGGAGCAGTGGGCTGCCATCGTGCAGCGCCCGGGGTTAGGGTCTTTGCTCAGGGAACTAGAGTGGTCCCTGGGAGTGGGGCTCAAACTCAGAACCTCAAGATTCCAAGCGCCACTCCCCAAAGCGTGAATGGTCTTGTCTAACGACCCACACATTCCTCCCTGCTGGGATGCAAACCCTGTTTGCAGGACCGATAACTTGAGCTAGCCAGCCACATATTTATACCGGTAACGTGCCACGCAAAAGCGTCACAACTCAAACAAACCGTATATACACAACACGCATAAGACAGCCTGCTACTAGATTTATTTAAATGTTGCAAATTTACACAACTTGTTGTCTCATGCTACACCATGCATAGCTCTATCTGCACTGATGAAGCCGCACTCACTTCACATGGTTGCCATAGAAAGGAAGACCGAAAAAAATGTTTGGTTTAATAAAGATATATTTTATTTGAACGGTTTGGTGTTCAGAATCTTTAATAGTCTTCCAAATTTATATTAAATAACTTCAGGGAAAGGATACTTTTAGCTACCTACTGACTACTGACTACTCATAGGATTTCTAAGAGTCGGAGGAAAGTGTTGCCCCACTCTTTATGGATATTAGCTTCAGAGTTTAGATTAGGTTCCCTGTTTGAAATATTATTCTCGGTTTATTTCAGATCTGGTGTGCAAATAATTTAATTTAAGCCCTTCTTTATATCACAAGAAGAGCAAAGTTGCTTTTCGTGGTTTTCTGACATTAGTCAGAGGGATGGCCAAAATGTGTAGCTGATGACTGGCGTTATCTTTGTATAATGGCATTAAAATTGAACCTGGCATATATTAAATAATCAACTGAAGGTTTTTTTTAAGATAAAACTTACTGCAAACCCTACAAAAAGCTATTTGATATTCAACTTGATGAGTTCAGTTTAAGCTTGTCAAACTTTTTTATTTTTTTATTTATTTTTGTAATGGATGGAGGGAAAGTTGCTTATTTAGAACAGAGTCCCTGGAAACAAATGTACCAAAAAGTGTAATTTAAAATCTATTATTGGTTCATTTAAGTGGTGACTGAAGTACATGCGCGTGTTTGGAGGCTTTTTTTATTATTCCTAAATGAGTCACAGGCAGTCATTGAGTGGCTTAGCTACTAAAAGAAAAAAATCTAAAAATGCCTATGTAAAAGGACTGGAAAAGAATGGTAGAAAACATTAACAAGAAAACTTGAATATCATCCTTTTAAACTATGGCAAGACAGGCTATCTCCTCTGAATTAAAGAAATAAGTTATAAATAGACATGTTGTCATTCTATTTATATCAATGATGCTCTGGCTGAAAACAAACACCATTAGTTCTTTCTTGTTAACTATGTACAATATTTTATCATTATTATTCATTATCTATTTATTATTTACTAGATTTAGCACAGTGGTGAGAGCCCCAAGATATAATATTTGGCACTTATCAATATTCATAAACCTGGGTAGACCCTATTGATATTTTTGATCACCAAATATATTATTTCATGACTGTCTAAACACGGATTTACAGTGGCTCTTCATACTCCTGCAAGGTCGCTTATTCAAGAATCATGTTAATAAATCCTAGTGACAAGGGTGGGGCTTTTGATCAGGGGGTATCTCGTCTAAACCTTTTTAGTCAGCTACAGAACACATTGTTTTTTTTAGATACATTATGCAAAGCATCAAAAGAATATTTTACAAACATCAAAAATGGCTTAGATAAAGGTAGCTTAAACTCCCTTTATAAAGAAGTGCATTTACTTTTTTTTTATTGATAATTCAACTGACCATGTGGGGATAAAAAGGTCAATGCACTGTGATCTTGACTTAGCAGATATGGCCAAACGATCATTACATAAATGAATCAGACATTTTGTGATGAATTTGAATAACTTCCAGCATATAGCATCCTGAGGTGAGTGAGTAATATGAGTTTCTTTATTACTGGGTTATTTACAGCCACATTTTACCTGCATTTAGCAGTTGTAAATGCATAGTGCCTGATATTCAACAGCTGTGATTCTCATTCAGCATCATTTTTCAAAAGGTGCGAAAAATCCAATAACGTGCTGAAGTATATGATGTACAGAAAAATTATGATTCCAAATTCTATGTACTTCTTTTTTACAAATAAAGACACTCTTATTCTGATAGATCAGCTAAGACAATGTTTTGTCCTCTGCATTTGAAAGGCAGATATAAAATGAGGTGAAGTATTTAGACTTTTTTTGTGCTGATATTTTTGCAAAATTAATAAATAGAGATGAAAAAAAGAAAATGACGTTGTCATGCTTGTTTCCCTCTTTGCACTGACCTTCTTAACATAGTTCTGGATGGCTTCTGGGTCTGCAGCCTGTTGACTGGCCACACAGACCTCTGTCTCCAGACGGTTTTTCACCCACCTCAGCTGGCTTTTCTCTAGACTTGGAGGCAAGACATGAGACGATGGTCATGAGTCATTTAGTTCAGGTCAAATAGATGTTATTTATCAGAAATGTCACATATGCCAGGCAACATATTTTAAGGTCATTTTCTTCTCTTATTTCACATTTCATCTCAACTATGGTAGTTACTGCACATTACCCGCTGACTTTACTCTCAAAAGAAGGTTTGCCTCTAAAGATTGTGGAAGACAAGCTCATGTTCATGAGCACTTGTTGACCCAGAATGATCACAGCAGAAACTTAATGTCAAATCTGATGGAAGGGGAATTTTCCATTTAAGAGGAGCACCCATTTACCACAGGCACAAAAACCTTATTAGACAGAGAAAAAAGAGCCAAATTTCCTTTTGCTCCCACTGCAAGGCACCATCATGAAAGGCACATTCAGATACGCCTCTTCAGATTTGGATTGAGGTCAGTGGGAAGGCCGTAGTAATATCTTGTGCTCTGAGGCGTGAGTGACATTCTCAGTTAGATTTGAAACAGTAGATCTATTTTTTTCCCCCCATTTCATTTTTATGGTTTTGATGAAAGGGTTGGTGATGATGGGGAGATAAAAGCCAGCGTAAAGGGGACAAAGGGGGGTGATCGGGACAAAAAGAAAAAAAAGGAGCGTATGCATGTGTGTGTGTACGGAGTGGTCTCTAAAAAAACAGATGAAAGGATGGTGAGATGGACTCTCTTTCAGACTGCCGTTCCCCTCTGGCGAGCTCTGGTGATGCAATCAGCCGTCTCCACGGTGACAGGTGCCAGGAAGCAGCAGGACAGCTTGGCAGGAGGGGCATCAGAGGAGCAGCCTGGCACCTATCTGTGTGCCCAGTGTTTGAATGTGCATATATTTCCAATTAACACAGTTTAAATTTATGTCCAAAGCTGCTAATCATCCAAACTAAATCCTTTAATTGCAGAAGGAAAGATGCACAAACAACATAAAATTTAAGTATAGAATCCCTCATTTGTCATCAGCTTTAGACTATATTAAAATGACATCTGTCCTGTTTGGAATGCTGTTAAAAATGTCTCAGTAAGTTTTGAAAAAACCTTGAAAGTTTTAGTAAATATGATGGATAAAAATTGCATTGTTTGGGGAATATGACAAATAAATAAATGGTTCCAATGTCAAATGTTGACACTGACGTGACATAAATCTGTTGTACATTTTGATAAAATCTCCAACTAAGTGCTGAGGAGGCAAAAAAAAAAAAAAAAAGAAATGCATGAACTGAAAATCACAATTTACGGTACATACTGTTACCTATAAGTGCATTCACCTCCAAATTGCACATCAGACATTTTATAGTGAAAATGCGAGGAGAATCGAGACACTCCTGCTTTCTTTTTGGGTTGTTTTTAAATAAGAAACAATAATCAAAATAGCTGTCCTTATTTTTTGTGCCGCTTTTATGCTGAAGATCTTTAAAGGTGGTGTAGAATTTAGAGCAGCTGGTTTTACGCATCAAAACATCAGGAGGTTTCTGAAAGTTACAAGGTTTTTAAAATTACTTGTAAATTATATAGAAATATACTGATATTTGGAATACTTTTAATTCTTTTTAATTTAAAAAGCATGTACTTTTGAATAATAAAGTATTTTCAAATGTGAGTACTTCAATACTTGAGTAGATGTTTGACCGACTAACTTTTACTTGTGGTTGAGTAAGATTCGACTGTGAGTATCAATACTTTGACTCAAGTACTACTGTTGAGTACTTCGTCCACCACTAATTAAAAATAATACTAATCAGGTAAAAAGTGCAGCAGCAGAACTATTCATAGAAGTAGAATTACATTTAAAAAAGTTACTCAACTAAAGTTAATAGTTTCTGCTTATCTAATGTATCCATTTATGCAGCTTTACTTTTCTTTAGTCCCTCTTCAAAACAGCATCATACTCAAGTTAGATAACCCAACATTTTTTCAGTTTCAGTTCACAATAATTCCTCCACTTTACCAACATTGGTTTATACAGCTTTTAACAATAATTGATTAGGGGTTGGAGCACATTTTGTGTAGAGTGGAAGATCTGAAGAGAAAAAAAAAAAGTAGATTTCACTTTTTTTTCCCCAAATTTTACTTGTAATGTGTTATTGTATGTGGATTGTTGTTAAAAAAGTTCTCCATGCATGTTTTCATTTTCAGAGGGACAACGTTATATCAGCTATTTAGACTCTCAATTTATTTTGCTGGAGCTATCTGTCCTTTATTTATTTTCCATGTACAAAATCAGGAAAAATAGATATCTTCCTTAGTGATGTAACCAGAGCATGGGAAAAAAATATTTTTAAAAAATTTTCAATACAGTTATGCACGTTTAATGAAAAGCATCTTTAATTCCTGCTTCAAAGCTTTTATTTTCCAAAGAGTCGTTTCTGCAAATGAGCTTGTTGTAATTTATTGAATATGACTTTTTATTCAGATTGCAAAAGTTCTATTTTGTTTTTAAAATTTGGATACATCTTTGATTTACAGTGGTGCTGAAAAATCATTTTCTTTATGTTTAGGTTTAAAATAGTCCCTGAAAAATGTTGTTAGAGCTGACTGGGATTTTGAACTGTTCAGGATTTATTCCACCTTGAGAAAAAAACTCTAGTTGTTTTGAAGATTCTCCATCATTAAGGTAATTTTCTTAATACTACAAACCTGCTACCTCCATGTTTTACTGTGCAAACAGCATTCCTTTAGATGCTGTGAAGTGTTATTTATGAAGAATCCCATTCTTCTAAAACTGCTTTACAGATTTAAGGCAGGGCGGGATCTTTACTAAAAAACTAACATTTTAAAATACTTCTCTTAATCCAGATCTTTTAGAAATGAGCTCCTCCATTAAAATCTGACAAAGTTCCATCTTCTGTTCTAGTCAGTCATAAAAAAAAACCCAACATTTTGTAATTTCAGTGTTGATTATTTTGTACCATTTCCTCAATCCTATATTGTAGTTTAAGGATGCAACAAATACAAGAGATTCCTTCAGTGAAACCTAAACTTTATTTAAATGAAACATAATTTACAATAACTTAGAGCGGGTGCGTTCCAGAGAAGACAAGTTATTGTTACTTAATCAGAAGGTTGTTAGAATTTTGAGTTAAGGGTATGGAAGTTACGGCAGGTTCAATGAAATTTGTAGTTTTTATTCCTGTTAATAATGCAGGATACTGCACAGGTGACACTTAATGTGAAACAATTTCTAAAATTATTTTATATTGCCTGGCATTTGACCTGAGACGCATAGACTTTTATATAATCCACTGTCTCCCAGTGTTTCCTTCTGTATTCATTTAGTGTCATTCCTCAGCCAATCCCTTCACTGATCCCTCTCTCCCTCCTTTCCCTACAGCTGCAGCCAGTTAATCACACTCACCTGTTTTGCATCAAGTAATCAACCCTGTGCCCTTGAGTTTTTATGTAATATTCCATGTGTATTTGTGTTCCACCTGAGATTCCTTGTCTATTTTTCTAAGTTTTTCTAATCATTGAAATTACCGTCATCATTTACCTCCCTCCATCTTGCCTGGGTTTGAACCCTGCACCGTAAGGAGCGTTCCCAACACCTGCAGACGCCCACTTCCACTGCAAATCCTCTTCCTCCATGCACAGTTTTTGTTATCTAGGTTAGAGTCATTTTAAAAAAAAAAAAAAAACAATTTAAATACACCCCAAAAGTCCAACTGCTGACTTCAAAAACTGTGGATTATGGATGAAATACCCACGGACTGTATTCATAAGTTGAGTTCAGTAGAGACAGCAGTAACAGATTTGGGATCGAGCTAAAGCATGTCGTTTTAAGTGGCTGAATCGCCCATAATTTATTTTACATTAACAAAAGGAGGTGAGGAGGCTTGTGATAATGAGTCTCTGTTGGATCTCATGTCAAAACAATGAAGTCACACCAGCAGGCACCCTCTAATTGTTAGCTAAATTTGGCTGCAAGCAAATCATCTCATTTATCTTAATCAGCCCACAGTGGTGATATTTACAGTTCAAACTACTTTCTTAAACAGAGGTGGTGGTGGCGCTGAAAAGAGGGGTGCGTTTGATCCGCTCACCTCTGTGTCTCTCTGACTAACACAGCTCTGTGGAGCTGGCGCTGGATGTGAGCGTGGCGGGGTCCGCAGGGATGGACAAAGGGGTGAACAGCCACCAGGACGAAGCCCTGTGCGTAGAGTTCCCTGACCTGGACGGGCAGCTCTCTGACCGATGAAAGGCAAAGCACAGACGACACTGGCACCTCTGTAGGCAGAACGGATCAGACAGAGGAGAAACAGGGGGGGGGAGACTTCAGGGTTAACAAGAAATAGGCATGGTCAAAACAATTATTTGGGACACTTACAAAAGATGAGGGGAAAAAAGCTGGAACAGAGAGAAGGAGAAGGGAAGAAAAAGGGCCAAAAGGCACGAAGGAACAAAGAGAGAGCAGGTTTCATTATGATAATTCCCAGTGAACAACAACACATGGCATCTTCACGCTAAATCTGAAACCAATTACACCAGAGCTACAAGCCTGTGTCCTCACTGTCACCGGCAGTCTGGCGTTTGGAAAGCAGAAATTCATCTGAGCAAACACCCATCCATATTAATGCAGAAGGATTTTAATATGTTAACGCCAACACAAACAGACACCAACCTACAAAAGGTTGGGAGACAATGCTGTCACCCTGTTTGTTTGTATGCGTGGTATCAGCAGCAATTGTGAGCGCAGACCTGCTCCCTTATTACCAAACATAATGGAGGGAAAAACCTGTTCAGTTTAGTAGAAATGGTTAAGGGAAGCTTATCGTATGGAAACAAACTGTCACAGCAAATTAGCTGACGGTGGAGAGAGGGACCCTCCTGAGGTTGATGCATTGTGATAATGTAAGGCTTTCTGTACTGTAGCAAGCTTTCAATGGAGCACATTTGCTTAGAAACGTATTGGCACACCTTGTAAAGAGGTGTTGAAAGCCTCAATATTAAAATGAGTGAATATGTTGCTGCAGAAATATAATCTCACAGAGGATATTTAGAAGAATTGTCAGATTAAATAAAGGTGGGTAAGTCTTTCGCTGGGGGAACTAATTCTGAAACATTTTTTATTTAAAACTAGCATTCAAAAAATGATAGGCTTCCATTTATTCAAAGGGGTTCTCTGGGAGAGAGAGGCATTCCCATGGCATGACAGATCTCCTACTCTACATAACAGTGAAAATAAGGAAATTTCCCTTTGAATTCATCATTTAAAAAGATTTTTTAGCTAACAATTTCATTCTTGTAAGATAGTTACATAAAGACTGTTGATTTTATTTCAAACTCAGTCAGGCTGAATGATGGGAGGACAGAAAATAAATTTTACTGAAAAAACAAACATAAAAAAAATAATAAAACATTTGATGTGTATGTAGTTTCCATAATTATTATGGAGACTTAAAGATGTAGGCCTCAGTTCTCTAAAAACTGTTGTGTTTCTTCCTGTAGGATTTTGCAGAATGGGGAAAGGAGGAGTGGATTTTTGTCTGTAGGAAGAACAGTAATATTCACAGTAACATAAATCCAGAGAAAAAAGATAATCACAAATCGTCATTTCCTTTGACATCGTCTGATAGACCATAGATTTCATGATGGAGAGCTGGCCAATGTCCTGAAACGATAAAACTTTACCTCCAAGCCTTTTTTGTATTCTGTATTTGTTTTTTTTTCGACCACATCCTCTGTTCTGGTCTCGAAATAATACCAGTTTACACTCATCTGACTGACAAACATTATACCAGAAGTCCTGATTGTTCCAGTATGCCCTTCATGTTCCACTTAACATGCACATGAACATGCCTCCTTGGGTGCCTCATGTGAAAATGAAACTTTTTTCTCTCTCTGACCAAACACACGCCTGCCCAACTGATTGGCATGTTGACTTAAGACGTATGGACCTGACTCACATAATCTGTATAGTTTTGGTAAATAAGAAGTCATGCTTGTCTAAGAAAAAGTTTCTAAGCAAAAGTATAAATCAGGAGTTATGGATTTTGTCATTCACCATTATTTCCTAACTGAAATGATGTAAAACAATAAAAGGTGTGATATTTCAATAAATGGGGTACCAGCTGTTTGTATGGATGTAAAGAAAAATAAATAAATAATTGAAAACCAAGGGAAGAAAAATCAGCAACAAAGACAAGAAGTTGTTCCAGGAAAAAGCAGCAATGAGGCTGTCTGTTTCCATCTCGACATTTGTCATCCTTCTCTACCCAATCTCATTTGCATGGGTCCGGAGATGAGAAAATAACCTGAATAAATTAACTAGACACACACCAACCACATGGACACACATCCACACATGGATTGCAAGGAGGGGGGGTTCTGCAAGCCGTCTCATTTTCAATTTGTTCTCCATCATCTGGTGTGCTCAGCCACACACACACAAGAACCTGGCAAGAGTGGCACATGCACACTAGTACACACTCTTCGGACTCCCCTCTCACTTAAAGTGAGAAGAAGAAGAAAAACAACATTTTTGGCGTAAATGTTCGGAAAGGGGCGAGCTTTTCATCAAGCCAACATTTAAACGACTGTCTGTGGAGACTTATCTGAAGCAGCCGAGTGGCAGTAATAGTAATAACAATAATAACAGCTGGAGATGAGGATGGAGTTGTGGAGTTGAGGGTGGGATATGGAAGGTGGAGGGAGTTGTGTTGGTGGTGAGGGGGGGTTGGGATAACAACGATCCTGTCACTGTAAACAGTCATTAGCTGTCATTAGCTCTGCTCGGCTGGCACTCACCCACCGACGAGATGCAGCTCGGGCCAATTCAGCCGAGACATCCAGAAAGTTATTAGGGTGTTATAGGCAGCGCTTAAGGCTGCGAAGAGACTTCATTTATACTGTCTGCCTCTGTGGGATTTAACAGGGAGGCTTCAATCCCTACTGCACAATAGGAGCATGAGAATGGCTGAAGGCAGGAAAGCTGGCTGCTGTTTTATAGTGCCAGCTGTGGAGGACAGAGGAAGATGGAATGAGCACGCTGAACAAACCGCTATGTGTTAAACCAAGCTGGAGGTGACGATGTGGTTTACAGGCTTAAAAGCACGGAGGTGGGTATTTATCAGACTGGGATCACTCGGTGTGTTTGTGAGACCTAGGCTGCATCATCTGATGGTCACAGAGTGCATCTGAGCAGCTGTTTAGCGCTTGATCTCTGATCTTCTATTTCGGTCCCTAACAGAAGCTCTGACCTCTTTACAGTCACATGCCTCGAGTTTTGACCCCCGACTTTTACAAGATGTTTTAGGAGCCTTCAAGTCAACTTCAAAGGATTTATTAATTCCCTTCAACCACACAAATGTTGAGTTTCTAAGGCAGTACAGCTGCAGCACAGTATATTTGCAAGGCCTGTATGAGCCATCATTTTTTTTTTTTTTTTTTTTGCCAGGGTAATCTGCACACATGAGAAAGCAAGAGTTTCCACTAAGCCTGCTAGGTGATGCAGGCGGATTTACTACTTACAGCACCCCTCAAGGCTTATCCCTCTGCTAGCTGGAGGTTCACGTTTATTTAAATAGCTCTCTAATGACTTGCAGAGGTTTCATGAAAAGGTGCGTGCCAAAACAGTATCTATAAAATAATCAAGTTCCCAGAAGCTAGGAGCTGCCTGCTGGTTGGAGAATGTGGACAAAAGCCACAATGGTTTATAGTGGTGCACCAGTTGGCAAGTCAAATGCTGACAAATGTGTTCCTCCTGTTCAGTAAATGTACTAAAATCATTCACCATAAGCAAACAGTCTGTACTTCAAAGAACCCTTTTTTAATTTTATAAAAATCTGATGTATTAAGTGACATTTGCTTGTCTTGTATTATCATCAGTATTGTTTTAGCATTATCAGCTTTGACTGGTGCCTTAGAAACTCAAACATCCTGTCTCTTTTCTATGAGAAAACACAAATCTAGTCACCATCAGGTCAAGCTTTCAATGCGCAGTTTGGTTTCTAAGGGAAACAAACTTAAAGATAGTCAATTTCATTATCAGCAAGGTGTTTAACCCAAAATATACAGATGAAGCAGATATTTAAGAACCATCTTCATCAAATCATCAAATTTTGCGACAAGTTCAAGCAAGGCAAATTTATTTTTAAATGACATTTTAGTGGCAAGACAACTTAAGTGCAGCAGAATTCTGGATCCACTGCAGCTGGACAATAACATAGAGGCTTTAAAGCACTAATAGCAAATATAAGATGCCAAAGAAATTAGAGAGTGGCCGATACATCGGCAGGTCAATATTTTTGGCAGAAAATATCTTTTTTCTTCTTGTGTTGGCATCAGCTGATACCTGCATGAGTTCACGGACTCAGCAGTGCAAAAGTGCATGCATAGAGCCACACTCCATGTGTTATCCATTGATTATGTATTGTTTGACATGTGTCCTTTTTATCATTTAAACAGAGAAAGAAAAAGCAATACCAACTTCAAGGATCAACCCAATGTTTCTGTCCAATGAACTGTTTCTCTCGTCCAACTACAGTTTACAGGAGCCATAGAATTCAGTCAGAAAACAGATTGACAAATGACTTTGGTTTATTGTAGTTTTTCATCTAAAGCAAAGTCATATTAATGTACGATGCAACATGGCGTATTACTTTTTTTTCAGTGTCTCTTTAGGACCCTTCTCTGGATACCCTGAAACTTGCCACCTTCATTCATATTCCATTAGTTAAGAGTTTTGTCATAGTTCTTTTTGTCATAGGACATTAAAACAACCTTTAAGCCCACACATTTGTTATTTTTTGTGTTATAGGCTTGATGGAAAGTTTGACACATTTCTTACATTAGGTGTAAGTAAAAAAAAAGTCATTAACAGATATAAAGGCTAAAGGAAAAGCAGTTGTTGTATAATTTACATATTTTTCACAGATTTTGAATTATGTTACGGAAATAAATAAATAAAACAGATAAATAATATTTAGTAATTTACGATAATTATGACTTTTTATTACAGTTCTTTAACAGAAATCTGAGTTAAGTACCATCATTTTACTCAGCTAAAAGCTTCAAAAAAGAAATAAGCTCCAGTAAATGGTAAAATTCTACTTGTAAGTGTTTTAGTTTTTACAAAAAAGTGAATTGCAAATGCAAACTCAGACACTAAAGCAAAGCCTGGAAGAAAAAAAAGATCCATTCATTTCTAAAAGTTTATTTATCAGTTTTCGCTAAATGATCTGATAATTGTCCCAACAAAAAGCATCAGGTTCCCAAAAGTGACAGAA